CGATGGTTAGAGACCTTGAACGACATGGCTCAAAATCGTTTACAATGGCGCAAGTGCATCCACTCGTTGTGTTCTCTCTAATTCTAAGCTTCTTCATTCCTCATCCTCTCTACCTTTCTTCTTCTAAATTTATCTCACTGAATTATACCTATTGAATCATGTCTTCGCGCCCTAATCTCCATTGCTGCTAATAATTCTACTATTGCTATCACTCTTGGATTTGAACTGACAATTGCGTCTCTGTGCTGAAGGGGCATGACAACCTTAAGTGATGTACTTATGTACGAAGTTCCGCGTTGTATCTGTCTGTCTGGCTATTGAGGATTCACCTTCGTGAATGTTGATTCTTTAAATATATATCGATTTGTTGGTTATTAAAAATAACCTGTACTGTGATTACTGATTCAATTTGTAAATTTCTCAATACTATAAGTTTAGTGTATCTTTCTTAAGTTGATGAAATATTCCTTGACTCAAGCCAAAATTTCACGAAAAGATACTTCATTGTAAAATACACTGAACGGGAGATGTACAGAGTTGAAATCAATGTGTTTGTTTTCAGTAAATAGTAGTTACATTTAGACTTTTGTTAGAATTCTTTCGAACTTAAAAAAAAACTAGTCTACAAAATAATAATAGTTCATTATGTTCATCTTCCTTTTCGTATGTAAATTTAATTTCTTACTAATAACGTGTTTATTAGTTTAGAGAAATTTTTTTAAGAGAGTCTTTTTTGATAGCAATCAATATGTCACATCTACCTATCTTAACCACCCGATGCATCATGATCTAATCGTGCTTTTAAAAAAATTAACCGACTTATTGTGTGACATAAACAGTCGGCGATACCGGCGATCGATCTCATAGTCACTTAATTTGTGTGCTTATCGGAAAATCCCTTTAAAGATGAATCACCTTGATCAAAAAAAAAATGTTCAGACATATTATTATTATTTTAATTGTACTTAAAAAGATATTCTGGTTTGCTTCTGCATTTTGACTATTGAAACTTGTGTACTGTTTGATTCGGTTATTTATTGATTTACTCTGAAGAATTATTAACTTAACTAAGTCACGAAATGTTTGAAATACAAATTTCTACACATTGGAATATGATAGGAATATTATTATGAGGATTTTTATTATTATTAAGAAGTGTTATTTTATGCCGATAATATAGTTCTATTTGGTGAAGACGCTGACAAAATGCAGAGTCTTCTGACCACCCTAAGCAATAATGCAAACATTTTCGCGATGCGGTTCCCCCCCCTCGAAATGCAAACTGTTGCTTCAAGATTGGGTTTCATCGGCACCTGAGCTAGTGACAGGGAGTGAAGTAGTCGAACGTGTAGACCGCTTAACTTATATGGGGAGTCTCATCAGTGCTGATAGCCTGGTGACTGACGAAATCTCAGCTCGGATACAGAAGGCTCGATTGGCTTTTGCCAACCTGCGTCACTTATGGCGTAGGCGAGATATCCGTTTTCTGACTAAAGGACGAGTGTACTGTGCAGTAGTTCGCTCCGTCCTATTTTATGGCTGTGAAATATGGTCAGTCAGAGTAGACAGTATTCGTAGGTTACTGGTTTTTGATCATAGGTGTCTTCGAAGCATTGCTCGTATATCCTGGGACAAACGAGTAAGCAGTGTTGTCGTTCGGAAACGAGTACTAAGTAAAGATGGCAAATCAATGGATCAAGTGTTGAAACTTCATCATTTGAGATGGTTGGGACATGCCTAACCACCGACTACCTCGACGAGCTATTTTTTGTGGTGTAAGAGTAGGTTGAAAGTAAGCTAGGGGCTGTCAGACTAAAACATGGCAGAAATGCATGAAGTTACTGACAAGTGGACTGAGTCATGTTGGTAGATGTAGAGGCTACCGGGTTGGGGTCCGCGAGATGATATTAATCGATGGTTAGAGACCTTGAACGACATGGCTCAAAGTCGTTTGCAATGGCGCAAGTCCATCCATTCATTGTGTTCTCTCAAATCCTAATCTTCTGGATTCGTCAGCACCTCTACCTTACTTATCGACTGAATTATACTTCTTGAATAATATCTTCAAACTCTAGTCTTCTTCATAACCATTAATACCTCTACTATCTTTATCACTATGGGATTCGATTTGACATTTGCGTCTCTGTGCTAATGTGGTATGGCAACGTGAACTTATGTACATACGTACGAATTTCTACGTTGCAACTGACTGAAGAATTGTTATTCGCTAATTGATTTTTAAATTTGTCAGTTCACTTTCAGTATATTTCCAATAAAATATTGAAATATTTATGTATATATGTTTGTCAATGTTCTCCTTGTTATTTATTTACTCTATTTTTTTTTCATTTTCTTACTCCATTTTTTTAAAAAATCTTCATGCATATTATGCTTCATAAAAATAGGCAAGATTTGGGCAATGCCAATGCAAATCGTTCATTTGTTACACTTCCAGTATTTATGAATGCGGAAAACGTGAGTATGAAATGCATTTTTTTTTCAAGAATGTCTTCATTTCTGTAAATTTCAAAATAAGAGAAAACGAACCTTTACTATTTAGAGATGAGTCATTGTTGTACACTTTAGTTAAAGATTTGAATTTTAAACAGCATTAACCTTCGACTTTATTCACCTTTTTTTTTAAAACACCCAAACATTCTATTTTTGTTATGAGTTTCAAATAATATAAAAAAGAGTATCACTTTAATATAACAACATTCCTGGATATTTTTTCCACTTCGCAATATACTACGTAAGTAAACACGATAAAATGAAAATGATCTAAGTGACCAAGTTCATGATAATCCTGGATTACGTACTCCAACAGTACACAACACAGACATTAGGTCACGTGTTGTCAGATAACCCAATTCACGACTTAATAGAAAAACAGAGTAACTGATAGACAATACAACCACTTTCATTAAATGAATTGTACATCCCACCGTCACATAATATTGTGTTTTACATAAAAAAATTATGTTATTCAGATCAAACGATATAGACAGTCATCATGTCTAACAATAAACTTTATATAAAAAAATACTTAATATAACAAGCCTATGATGATCTTTGTTTTTCTGCAAACAAGTTGCAAATTCGCGGGTAGCAAGAAAACAAATCGTTAGTTGATATACCATGATGGAGGTTTTACTCTGACGATTCATTCAACCATATCAACTAAGTTGAAACACATTTGTGTACATTTCTATTGTCTATGCATTTGTAACATTCAAGCATAATACTTTATCAAATTGGAGCGCGTGAAAAAATGTAAATGTTATACGACCTGATGACGATCTAATGCAAAATAATATTGTTCACTTGTATGTGTTGTTCGAATTTTCACAATGAAAATTTCTAATACGGTAAAATTTTAACAATCAAGTTTCATTCAACCATATAAATCAAGCTCAAACACATATGTGTGTCTATTATTCATATTTTCAATCAGTTTTATGGAAGTAAGTAAGCAATTTACTCATTCAGACAAACTGATCAATAAATCATCTCACCACATTGCTGAGTATTGGATAAACATACAAGATATTTTATGAGAAATTTAGATTTATGACAACTGAACAACATAATGAGTAAATGAACAAATATTCAGTAGTAATGGTAGTAAGGAAACGTGGATGGTTGGATGAAAAGGTAGATATTATGAGGAATGCAGAAGGTTAGAATTTCATAGAACATTAAGAGTGGATGCACCTACGCCATTGCAAACGATTCTGAGCCATGTCGTTCAAGGTCTCTAACCGTTGGTAACCTTCGTCTCGCGGACCCCAACCACATAGCCTACATCTACCAACATGACTCAGTTCACTTTTTAGTGACTTCATGGATTTCTGCCATGCTTTGGTTTGGTAGATCGTCATCCATATAATTGTCGTAACCGAAAAAAGCAATTAGTCTGAATGGTGAATATTTGTCCAATCGATATTCTGCTTTCACATCTTACGTGTTTAAAATAAAACCATAACTTTATTCCGTAGATTTTGTCTTTCTTTACTAACAACACTGTATTTGACTAGTCCATTTGTGATCTGCAAATGGGCATTGCTACCACTACTACTCTGGTTTTTGTTAGATCTTAAGCATTTGAAACTGTCTCAAGCTTTTTATTTCAGAAGTTTATTCTTTTTTGCTCTTACATTATTGCGTTTCGTCATTGTTTTTCCCCCTCTAATGGACACTTTAAAATTCTACTACTCTTTCATTTTTGTTGATTTCATGTGAAAACCCAGATTGATACACAATGTGTACCAGTTTTTCCTTTATTTATCACTAATTAACTAGACTTTCGTAATCAACCTACTTCCAATACCACGTACTTTCGAACCGTTTCATCAACACTCTTCGGAATAGTTTCGTAGAGGATAATATGAAGCTTTCTCTTAGCATACACCCTAGCTGCTATCTACCCAATCTGTCCTACAAACTAATTTCCTTTAAACGTCAAAGACATTTTTCAGATAATTCATTTTGTGTTTAGATTTTATTGATAATATAAGCGTGTAATTTTATTCATCTGACTCATCATTTCGTCTTTGATTTCTGATCATTCAAAGGCTTAGACCAATAATATCATATCACATGGGTGACAACTATCACTCACCTAGAATCTATCATTGTGTTAATTTATCGACAATCGGAATTTTTGTCTTACCAAACCGCAGGTAACGACGTCCTTCCATCTGTCATTCTGTTCTCAGTTTATACCTCTTACATACATTAGAAAACGTAGCAATCCACGTGAATCACAATTTGTGCTCTCTCTCTCTCACGTCGTTTACTTCATTTCAAGCTGACATGTAACTACATTTTTTACGTCACCATATGATTCAAAATCATGTGGTAGGTAATTATGCTTAGAAATTTAGACAATAAAACTTATCTATTTGTCTAAAACCTGTGATAAAATAGTCTACTTAAATAGAAATATCTTTTTTTCTCATATATTTCTTAAATATGAATCAAATTATTTAATATACACAATAAAATATTTTACTAAACAAACAGAACAATATTTGCATTATAATGACAGGATAAATAACAAACATATCATTCGAAAAAAAATATTTGTCATTCAACAATTTGTTAATTTTTACACCTTTTTGTTGAGTTAAATTTGTTTTGGTGTTAATTATGCTTCCAAGCGTTTTTCGCAAGCATAAATGTTGTTCCATGTAGTTTGATTAGAACAGTTTGGTACAGAAGGCTCGATTGGCTTTTGCCAACATGCGTCACTTATGGCGTAAGCGAGATATCCGTTTACTGACTAAAGGACGAGTGTACTGTTCAGTAATTCGCTCCGTCTTACTTTATGGCTGTGAAACATGGTCAGTGAGAGTAAAAGATATTCGTAGGTTACTGGTTTTCGATCATCAATGTCTTAGAAGCATTGCTCGTATATCCTCGGACAACCGACTGAGCAATGCCATTATGAAGCCAGTACTAGGTAAGGATGGCAGATCAATTGATGAAGTATTGAAACTTCATTAGTTGGTTTTGACATGTGTTGCGTTTGCCTAACCACCGACTACCTCGTCGAGCTATATTTTGCGGTGTAGGAATACATTGGACGAAAACTAGGGGCGGCCAAACCAAAATATGGCACAAATCCATGAGGTCACTGACTAGTATACTGAGCCATGTCAGTAGGTATCGACTACCTGATTGGGATCCGCGAGATGTTAGTAATCGATTGTTAGAGACCCTGAATGACATGTCTCATAATCGTTTGCAATGGCACAGGTGCATTCATTCTCCGTGCTCTCTCAAATCCTAAACTTTTCAATTCTTCGTCACTTTATTTTTTTAAGTCTATTTCACTAGATTCTACTTCTTGAATGATATCTTCTAATCCTGACCTCTCCGACTACTGCTAATACCTTTACTACCTCTACTACTATTGGATTTGAATTGACAATTACATCTCTGTACTAATATGGTATGGCAACATGAACTGATGTACGTACGTACGTACGTACGAAGTTCTACGTTGCTATTGATTGTTTGAGTGATTGATTTATGAGACAGACTTCAGATCTCCTACTTACATACATACATATAACTTACAATTCTTTGTTCTGATAAAGATGGTATGTTGGAATGTTTAGAGAAATTTATACTTATTCAGTAAGAATAAATAAAATAAAATAATTTCACTTTAGATATATCACAGGTATTGAGATAAAACGCCCAGTAGTATATACTTGCTTCAAAAAGTTAATGGAAGTACACACAAAACTCTTTTGGAAACATTTCATTTAATCAGAAGTGAATTAAAGTTTCTTCGAAACATCTAAACGAATGATAAATCATACACCACAATATTTCATTGGATCACTACTTCCTTACTGCGTCTAAAAACCATTTTTTTTTTAGTCAACGTCATGTTATTCAGTATAAATACACACGATTTTCTATACATACTTTGACTCAGTTGGAAAACATCTTTTTTGCACTTCGCAAATTTTCTATTGTGTTCATATTTTCTGGGGTTATTAGAAGAGGATAGGAAATCAAATCAAGGGTTCATTTAGCAGATTTGTCATACATCGCTTAAATTCAACAATAAAAGACTTTAAGAAACACGTAATAAAGGCGATTTGTCAAATATAACTCACTAAAATTTACACTTTATTTGTAAAGACAGGATGATTAATATCAAACTGTTCTCAGTCAGTCAGTCAGATGCAACGTAGAACTTCGTACGTGAGTACATCAGTTCATGTTGCCATACCACATCAGCACAGACATGTAATTGTCAATTAAAATCCAATAGTAGAAGAGGTAGTAAAGGCATTGGAAGTAATCGAAGAGGTTAGGATTAGAAGACATTATTCAAGAAGTATGATTCAGTGAGAAAAGTTTAGAAAGACAAAACTAGAGGGGTTGAAAAATCCAGAAGATTAGGATTTGGGAGAACACAAAGAATAAATGCACCGGCGCCATTGCGAGAGAGGAAAAATTATTTACTAACCAGATGTTACTGACTGCTTTAATTAACTAACTATCTTTTATGGGTTCTGTGAACTTTCATGATGAACGCTGTCGAAACTGGCCGCATTTTTTCTTTGGTTTCGTTAAAAGATATTGATAAATATATACAATTAAGTGTCATTGTACATGAATACTTTTACAATTGAAGAATATTTGCAACTGAAAACCATCGACAAACACCGAAGTCACAATTTTCAATACAAATGTCAAAAGAGGTCCTACTGTATGAAGTGGGAACTTGGAAAACTACCGTAGCCACTATCCAAGAAGATAACTATCGTCAGACGCCTAAATGTGTGTCTGCGTTCCAGGTCCTGTCGTAGTGTGAATGTGTGGTCTGTGCAGCCACGTCCAGGTCTGAAACCAGCCTGGTTTCTCTAGTCTGCTCTTCAGGAGCACCAGTTAAGCGTCTAAGTATAATGGAGGCTGATTATTTGGAAACTATATTAGTTAGAATGATTCCC